TTTATAAAGAACATGACACTTATTTCAGATTAATGACTGTTTTTTTATGAATTACTTTATTATATTGATTGTAGTAAAAGTGGAATAATATCAAAAAAGTGGCCATTTTTTATAAATCAAAAAATGGTTGGTATCAAAAATTATAGATTGACTAAAATGGCTTCTTTTGTTTACCCTTTCTTTTGAGGCTTTTCAACCTTAATATTGCCTTCTTCTTTTATTTTCATGAACATCAATATCTTCTTCATCTGCTTTTCTCTTAGGATTTTGCTTCGAATACTCTTCAGTTATTTCTTTTTGCAATTTTTCAATTCTTTTAATTCTTCGTCTCATATTCATAAAATTAAGATCAATCGCTATGCTGGAATCAAGATCTGGATCAATCAGTGTCTCATTAATGAGCATATTAGGATGCTTGAAAAGTAAGTTATTACTAATACCAGAAATGCTTAAAACTTTCAGATTCAGATATTCGTTTAAAACATTAATGATTAATTCGAGTGCTTTATTATTGATGATATTCTGAGTTAAATCAATATGCGTTAAATTCGGACTTTTTTTGATTATTGAAAAAAGAACCTTCATGTTATTTTCATCAATTCGACTAAGATCCAATTTGATTTCTTAATGTTACTTGGAAAATGACTAATCTTAAGATGATCAAATATAAAATTAGAAGGTGAGATAGAAAGTCATTTAATTGCGGATTCTTTGGTCAGGGAATAGACATATAAATCTTTCTTATTTATCTTCTCAACTTTAACACGTTTAAACTCAATATTTGTAATCTTTTTTTTGTCAACAATAGATTTTTGAAGGAAATGATATTTGTTATGATCAATTTGACATATTATAAATTTAAGTGATTTCAATGAAGGATGGTTGTTCATCAAATCGTTAATAGCATCTGAGTAATAAAATTCTCCAATGTGTAAAAACGAGTTCTTCGAGCATTTGTATATTGACTAAATTTAATAAGAATTCTCTGAGATATTCATGATTGTAATTGTATTTATCTCTGTGCCTGAATATAATTGTTTTAATAGCTTTGATAGTGCAATCTTTATGAACTACAAATGGTCTGAGCAAATAGATATTCACATTAAATGTTATATGAATTTCCTCCATTAAGACTGATTCTTCAAGGAACAATTGTACAATGCATTCAACAAAAAAAATATTGTCAACTTTTTGGGCATGCTTGCTTGAAGAGTATTACACACAAAAGAACACTCCAGTGTAAAGATTATCGATTTTTTTTATATAATGATGATAAGGATATATTGTATTTAGTTGTAGTCTTGTCGATGGGACTACTCTTGGAAGCTTTTTGGTACCTCTATATTTTTTAAACACTCAAGAAGTGTATATGCAATGCTTATATCGTCTCCTGGTGTATATCTTTATAATACTTTAACCACAAATGCCCCCAATTCACTGTTTGTTCTCATCATATTAATTAGAGTGGACACTTCAAGGCACGAAGTTATTTCAAATAATATTTCTTTGGGAAGTTTTAGGATTTGAAAAATATTTGTCATGATTATGTGTTAACAAAAAATTTCCAAACAGTGAATGATTATGTATAAAACAAAAATTGTAAAGACTTTATATGTACGTACGAGATGTCACATATAGAGATGTGAACTATAAATATAGTTATAGTTCATATCTCTACTATAGCCAGTGTTGGGCCTGGACATTGAACCTGGACATTGGACCACCCTTGTCCAATCCAGTCCAATCCATTGGGCAGGAGGGTATTGAACATTGGACTTGGTCCAATAATTATATAATTAATTTAATATATGACAGTGTATGTAATACATTTTTTTTATTGGCTGTTAATTTTATATTTATGCAGTCGGCTTCGCTGCCTGATATTAATAATTAAAAAAATATAGTTGTACGTATTGCAATAGTACAAATGAATTAATAGTTTCACATTTTCAAATTAATTCGAATAAAATAAAAATAAGAAGCATTACTTGATGGTAAATATTCACGAATTTGAATGATCTATTTCAAATATCTCTGTTTATTTTTGGTTATATAAATTAATAGATAGGTAATTTATATACTAACTGCATAGTTAATACAAAGTAATTAAACATAAAATTGATTA